ATTCTACGATAGCGTCTGGTCCTCTGGTTATAGTATCTTATGTTTAACTGAGACATGGCTAAAAGACTCGTGTTACGATCACAATCTATTTCCGGACGGTTACACTGTTTTCCATTCTGACAGAATATGTACAAATAAGACGCGTGGAGGTGGAGTGTTAATAGCTTTATCTCCCGGAGTACGTGCCTGTAAACGCAGGCACGACTTAGAATCCTTTGAAGAATGTGTATGGGTTGAAATCCCCACTTTTGATGGTCTAAATCTACTCATTGGCAACCATTACTTTCCGCCTGATGCTAAACCTGAAGTTGTTGCTAATTATTTTCGATTTCTAGAAAACAATTTGGACACACAAAATTTTCGGGTTATTCTCATGGGTGATTGTCACACTTCTTCACATTTTATAATAGTATAATTTACTTAATTGATTCATGTTATTTTTACAAATATCCTAATGTAGTTAGTAGTAATTTTTAGTGTATTTATTTTTCCGTATCAATGTATTTTATATATTGCTTGTTTTACCTTTTATGTTTTATTGTGTTTGTGAGTTTATCTCTGTGCTGTATCTGTAATTGGCCATCAGGCTGTTGATACAGCACACAAATAATAAAGAATTGAATTGAATTGAATTATATGTTTTTGTTCAGATGATGAACCTGTTAAATCTTCCAAACATCTATCCCTGCTTCAATAGTAATGTTTATAGACTTGACTCTGAGACTTCACAGTAAGGTAAAATGGAAATGTCAGTATCCAGGGGGACATTAGACTATTAAAATAATTCTCTTGCTTAGTTTCTCAATTTAATGCAGGGAAAGGGGGGGAGGCTCTTGTAGAGGAGTGGCACAGATAGAGGCCTTCAGGGAAGGTGAGAACTACAGAACCGCAGCTAATGTGATACAAAACTTTCTGGATTCAAATGCCAAACATCCATCAACCAAATGTCTTTAATGAATGAAAAGACTTCCAGAAATTAGATAATGATGGTCTATTAGGGTAGAATATGTACCATGGTACCAAAGTTTATGAGTTGAGAAAGTCCTAGTTGACAAATTCTTCACTGTGAGTGGTTGATGCTAATGGTGTTAAAGGCTAGCCACTGGACAGCTGTTTCTTACCACGAGGTATTAGCTGCGATAATAAACAAAATGCAGACAAGACTGGTGAAAGACACATAGCTACCAATATGGTGCCTAGTGTGGTCTGTGTCCACACTCCTGCTAATGATCTGGTGGTTGTTCTCTGGCACAACCCAAGTTACCACAGTTTTCGGAGAGTACAGATTGCCTAATGGAAGCATGCAACCACATATTATTATGCTAAAAGTGAATAACATAAAAGTTCCTTTGCAACCAATTATTGTTTAGAAGAAAACTTTTGTTAACTACATACACATGACAATGCTAATCAAATGTGCCCCTATTAAACCTGAAAGAATTATCCATAAGAAATAAGCTACAATTACATAATAATTGCTACTATGCTTTGTTAGTACTTCAGACTTTTCCCACAGAAATTATAAATGATTGGTATGTGGTGAATAAATGACATATTGAATGAAACCAAAAAATTATGTAGCCACACAATCAATCAAGTAATTTCAGGCTTTATACTACCGTATTATACATTTTATTGCAGAGAACTGAAGTGCGAATGTTTACCTACCTTATGCAAATACTCCACAGCGTCAATGATTTCTGCCAGGTATAATCTTGCTTCACCAACTGAAAACATTCCTCCCCACTCCAGCAACAGATGGAGCAGGTCACCACCTGCATAATATTCTGGAACAATAATAACGAAACTTAGTTACCATAAGGACAATTACTGCTACCAGAGGACAGTAGAAACTACTGTGTTGTACATTCAGTTAGAAAACAGTGTTTCTGCCAAATGACGCTCTGGACAATAATGAAAACTAAAATATAGTTCACAAAGTGACAATGGTATATTCCACAAGTAACAAGTCATGTTGTTCATCTGTTTGCAAAACAATACCCGCAGCACAATTGGAACCCTTCACACAATGTTTTCAGAGAAGATAAATATTACCCTACCCTTCTTCCTATGGTTACTATGTACCCTTACCACTACTCTGTAAATGTGACTCACAGAAAATGAACAGAACAAATATGTGTTAATACCATGGCACATAACATGTGTTCGTCAAAATATACATGGGACGTGACAAACCTGTCAGCGGGAGACTTCGACATGTGTACAGCTTGTCTCTCCTTTGACCTTGAAGACATGACATCTATGTGACCAAGAATATGGGATGATTTAAATAATTAAGTTTTTTTTCTTTTTTAATATGACAGAGTACTCCTGAAACATGCATGTCTTAATTAATGCCTTTTATTATAGTTAGGTAGACTCCTGCAATTTTGGTGGATAAAGTTTCTCTGTAGCCTGACTCTTCAGGGATTAGTAGTAAGATTGGTAATTCAAGATTTGTTTTATTTTTGTACAGTAATTGCAAAACTGAGATTTTAAAATGATTGGACAAAACACTATAAAGATTCCATGATACAGTCATACCACCTGATGCTTCAAAACACAAAAAATTGTTATGCCCCAAGGAAATAATACTCAGCTTGTGATTAGCAATAACGTTTATAGCTTTATTTAGTCCTGTACCTTGCCTATAGGGCCTATGAAAAGACTCTCCATACTATAATATGTGCCTATTTAAAATAATAAAACTACTGTGTTTGTGACCTGTTCTGCTGAAAGTCCTCTCTGCCTGTACACTTTGCATCGCTGTGTCGTTTACTCTCCGTCTCAAATAACGCAGAGTTAAGAATAGTCTTTTATGTACTCACCTTGTACAAAGCACAGCTTCGATTGTGTCTGGAAGGTATAGTACAGACCCACCAGGAATGGAGCCTCCAGACCCTTCTCAAGTAATCCACGTTCTGTGAGATACTGTTTGCCACCATCTTCCCATCGTCTTCATAGCATACAAATGCCCATCATCCACACCTCTGCTCTTGCTTACAAGGTAAACTTTTCCATAGCCTGGAACGGCACCCAATTTCCTATTACTATGTCCTCAACAAAGAATCTGATATTCGCAGACTCTCTCTCTTCATTAAGACTTTAATTATGTAAAACGTGTGTAAAATCAAGCCTTCATGACTGAAATAATATTTTCCATTACACATTCTGCACAGGCCTATTATTCAAGAAGCAATAAAAGCAGTAGCCCTCAGAGTGATATTTCCAGAAGATTAGGATACCATGGACACAGAGAAGAACAAATGTGTCAATCAGGAATGAGCTGGACATGAATAGACATATTTCTTCATCATGCTACCGGAGGACATTGCAATTCTTTGGCCACATCACAAGGCGATAGGGTGATAATCTAGAAAAAATTATAGTCCAAGGAGTAGTCAACGGAAAAATGCCATGAGAAATAACACCCAGGAGAAGGGTTGATCAGGCAAAGGAGATCACCCAGTTACCTCTAAGGAAGATCATACGAGAGGCAGAAGATCGGGAACGATGGAAGCAGCGGATCATTTCCATAGCAAACTAAAGCAACGCATGTGGGGTCACAATGCTCAGTTATGAACAATATGGTTAGAGAGAGAGGAAGAGTCCCTAATTTTAAGTAGCTACTATGAAAGGCCCAGTCAGGTGACAGAAACAAGGAATTCCCACATACCTCAGTGATATTTGAAACGTGTAATTATACATTATATATAATAATAATTATATTTATTATGTAACAGATACTTTTATAATGTTCATGCATTGAATCATCTTTGGAGTGTCTTTGACCCGGTCACACCAATTCTATGCAACGATATGATTAATTTACATTTTATAAAACAAGTTAATTTTCGCAGTCCTTCAATGGGTGATGTTTATATAATATTCAACCATAAAGACATTTTGTTCAAGAGAGTATGGTCTACAGCATTTTTACTACTGAAAATTCTGAGCTATTTTCAAATATCTTCTTGAAGCAATAATAGTTCTCTGATATTTCTGATACATAATTTTTACCAAACATTATTAATCAAAGCTTGGCTCTGAGTTTAGGAAGATTATGATCCTACATCACTTGTTCATATTAGCAAATGTTTGAATGGAGTATTATGTACTTGTTTCGTTTGAGGTTTCTGAAGACAATTTGTTGTCACAAATCAGATTTCTCATCAGCCACCTGCAGTCAAAAAAGATACATCCTATTACCTTCCAATATTATTACAGATTCAGTGCTCTTTTAAAATCAACATGAAATTCTGATTACATTTAATTTTAATTATTAGTATGCTTATATCTATATTATTAATATTTTGCTCTTTGATGAGCTGATTATTCTGTTACTACTTTAAAAGTTAAGTGTGAGTATTAGCAGGTGTGATGCTGATCAGAGTTATTTAAGAACTTGGTAACGTATTTAGATACAGATGACAATAAGATCTACAAACAAAAGCTAATAATACAGCATTTTAAAGTAATGAAGTACATATTTTATAGACAGGCATTGTTCAAGTAACCAACCAATACCTGGTGCACACATCTTGTCTTATCCATGCATGCTACATGCTCCGCCCATCTCCTACTTAACTTAATCACCTTGAAAATACTTGGGGAGGAGTACAAATTTTAAGTTCATCATTATGCATCGTTTTCTCTCCTATACCCAAATATCCTCCTCAACACCTTATTCTCAAACACCTGCAATCTACGTTCCTCCCTTAGAGTGAGAGACCATGTTTCGCACCCATACAAAATAACAGGCAAAATTATTGTTTTGTAAACTTTAATCTTCAGGTTCTTAGAAATAAGACAAAATATTTTGAACTGAGAAGTAGTAAACATTTACGGAATTTAGTCTCCTAATTTCGCCGTAAATATTGTTTGGATTTGTTATTGTTATTCCCAAATATTTTAACTTTGTTACACTTTCGAAGTATTTATTAGCCACCCTTACATGATTCTGCTCGCTTCACTGCTGATGGGATACTAACATGCACTTAATTTTTTCTGAATTCACTCCTAGCCCCATTTTTACACTACGTACCTTCTAGTAAAACTTCTGTGTTCCTCTTTAGCAAAATATGAGTTACCACACTAAATTTAAGATGTGTTTAGTCTAAATGTATCGGATATATAAAAGAACTTTCCTGCTCTTTTGATCAACGCAGGATCACGCACATTGACCTATCATTTTAATTTCCAGAAACAGAATTTACGTTCCTTCACTACGATGCCAGCATTTAATAAAACGATATCATAATTGCCAGTTGGTTCATCATAGTTTAAAACTGAAAAGCAATAAGCTACTATGACTACTGTTGCGTACTGAACTTCAAGAAAAACTTCTTAGTTTTCACAATACTTCAAACAGAGTGGTAGTCCGTACATGTACCACCAGCTTTAGCAACAAGTAACGCTGCATTCTGAATTTAAGGGTTAAGGGGGTTTCACACGGAGTCGTGGACCAGGCGAGAACACTACTCTATTTGAGTGAATCACACGACCTGCTTAATAACGCCTGTCTCCAGTTCCCACTTGAGACTTCGCAAATGCTTCTTCTCGCCTTCAGAGTCACGGTGTTTGCAAATGGCAGAGCAGGAAGCTATGATAGTCATGTGCGAATTACTGACGAATGAACTACGTGTTTATTTAAATAACGTAAAACATAAAAAGAAGAAGCTTTGGGTTCGTGATTGGATAAAGAGACGGGACATCCTCGGGGCCACCAATACCATATGCAGAGAATTATCTGCTGAGGACCAAGGTGGCTACAAAAACTTTTTAGAATGAATAGAAATCAGTATGCGCATTTGCTTAACAAGGTGAAAACGACTATTCAGAAAAGAGACACTAATATGAGAAGAGTCTTATCTGCGGAATCAAAACTTAACGCCACTTTAAGATTCCTAGCTTCCGGTAATTCATATGCAGGTATGCAGTATTTATTCAGGATCCCCAAGAATTCTATCAGCAAATTCGTTCCTGAGGTGTTGGACGCGATCTACGATGCTTTATCAGATTATTTAAAGGTAGGTACAATATAATGTAATATGTAAAATAAAGGTAAAAAAAAATATGTTGTGATTGTGATTTTGTTGGTCTATTCCCAAACAATTGCTAACGCCAATCAATAACCAAGAGTTGTACTGAAGTTATTGCTTTCTGTAGGTGCCAAATTCTGAAGGAGACTGGACAGAAATTGAACGAGGTTTTAATGAAAAATGGAATTTTCCAGGATGCTTAGGGTCTATTGACGGCAAACATGTGATTATTCGTGCTTCTATGTTTAGTGGCAGTGAGTATTACAATTATAAAAGTTCGTTCAGTATAATACTCTTAGCTGTAGCTGATTCCAACTAATACTTCCGGTACACTGATATTGGAGCCCAAGGAAGACATTCTGATGGCGGTGTTTTCGACCACAGTTCTTTAAAACAAGGCATTGAAAAGCATGAATTGCATATTCCAGAAAAGTACGTGTTTGTTGGGGACGAAGCTTTCCCTTTGAAACCGTATTTGATGAGGCCCTACCCAAGAAGAGAATTAAATAAGAAGTGTAAAATTTATAACTATAGGCTATAGAGGGCGAGAAGGACTGTAGAAAATGCTTTTGGTGTCGCGATTTCGAGTATTTCAGAAACCTATAGCTACATCTGTACCGACTGCCATACGAATAGTTCGGGCCGCTTGCGCCTTGCATAACTGGCTGCGATCAAGTTCCGAATGTAATTATTTTTCTCCCGGATTGATTGATAAAGAAGATGTGGATAATTATACTTTTGCACCTAGTTCATGGAGAGAAGAACAAGAAAGCAGGGGGCTCGTCAGACTACAACCTTTTCCGCCAAGATTTTCTGATCGTTATGCACGTGAACGAAGAGATAACTATTGCGAATATTTTAATGGAATTGGTGCAGTGCCATGGCAAAACACAATGATTTGTTAAATGTAATTTAGATGGAGATATGTTTAATTTTACTTCTTGATTGAAATGTAATGAATAAAGTAGATACCTACTCTAGTATCTACTGACGATATTAGTACATTAAGATTTAGATTTAGATACTAGAGCATAACTGGTAAGTAGAGATTTAATAATAGTTTAGATGAAATGTTGATTACATGTTTCCTGTATTTCACATTACGATTAAATTAAAAACTCACATTACAACATATTAAAATGAAACATGTTACAATTGAAATTATACAAAAAAAATTACTCCTTGTGCTGTAATTACACTAAACAAGAATGAAACAAGAATCACAACCGCACTGTAAATTTTTCATGAGGAACTTGCTTGTCATTTCTCAAACATCTGAAGATGGAGAATAAATTATAGATGACAACAGAATCCAAACTATCGTCTTCAGTAGGCAGTCGAGTTGTCGATCTTACAGGATGCTGATCCTCTGAATTTGTTTTCCTTCGTCGGTGGTTCCACGGTAGTAAACGGTGATGTTTGGCGGTTTTCAGGCTGATGTTAATGATACCGGTTGTAGTGCCAAGGAGGAGGATGACAGTATGTAGAGGGACCAGGGTATGTGCTGGGCTGTGGTGGGGAAACATGTTCTGATGAGTGAAATGCTTTTGCTTTTTGATTTTCGTAAGCTATACTCTCATTGGAAACAATGGTCTCAATTGTAATTTGCAAATTGAGTGACCTCGTAGCTTCCACATTGTTCAGCTGTGTAGCCAAACTTCGACACCACACGTCGAATTCCGTCTCTGCAGACAATTTATTTTGTAGAGTTTCTAATTTATTTAAGGCTTCTCCAATGTACGTGGACGATGCACTTCTTTTCTGAAGACGCCGTTTTTTTGAAGAACTTGCCTGTTCTGAAATTGGAGACTTAAAGATCGAGTCACTAACCTCTGGTTGCTTCGATGGATTTCTTTCAGACACCTCTCCAGGTACAGAACTCTCAAGAAATGCTTCCTGTTCTTGTACTTCTGTGGGGGTGGCTAGCGGTTCATTACTTAACAAGTTAGATGTCGTAGGGTTGATTTTAGAAACTTTATTTAAAAAAGCGTCCACTACATCGAACTTTGGGCCGATAAATGTCAACAGAGACTCCTGTTTTCTTAGAATTGCTTATTTTCTTCAATTCTTGGTAATAAGCAGATCTGATGTTCTTAATTTTTTGTGCAACTTCTCGAAGACCAAAACCTTCTATGCACATTTCTTGAGATATTTCTTTTAAACATTGATCCCTCGCATCCCGATCCTTGTACAATGAATAATTAATATTCCACAAACATTCTGCTTCATGGTACAATTCAACAAATTTGATGTGCCGAGTATGTTTCATTTTATACACCGACATTTTCGCAAGAAAATAAGCTACGCAGCGAACGAACAGCTCTCCTAGGAAGCTTTAAAAGGACTAGGCTCCGGTACTAATAGCTCAGGTGTATGTATTTCCACCTTCCTAACCCTATGAATACTCAATAGCTGAGAAAAGTAATTCACCCACTTGTTCAAAATATTGCAGGAATCTGCAAGCAGATCATCATTTTCATCCTTTACCAAGTCACTTTTAGATTGATAATGCTTCTTACATTCATTTATACCTCTGTAATGCAACTTTGACATTTATAGTGATGTTTGTTGGTGTGTGCGCATAACTAATTTTTCAATCCAGTAAATACTGTATTACACATTCCTAAACTTGTACTATTTAGCTTTCTAGAAAGTCAGAACTTGTTACAATCCAAAAGTACCATAATGGGATTGAAGAGAAATTAGTGAAGAGACCATGCGTCATTTACGTTAATTTGCAGTTTCATGCAAGTCATGGTCAAATCTACTAAAAGTGGGCCAATAATAGAATTAAATTTGTATAGTTCAGGCTACCATTAATATGCTACAGTAGAATTGTTTCATTGTATGTACATTACCAAATTACAAACCAATGTATGGTTGATTTTTGCAAAGGTAACAATGTATTTTCAAATAATTTCATTGTATATATACCTTCAGCTGTTCTGGCTTCAATTTTGATACACCTGTTTTGCACCAGTGTTTTTCTCCACAATTAATAAAAATATTTGGGAAATAACGCTGCAGGCAATATGAAGCCAGAAAATTGAAGCAAATGCTTCTGTCATAATATCCAGCCACGATTGTTTGAGCGCATGTGTAATATTTATTTTTTAGGAGGACAATTAATTTCAACAACATGAAAACTTTTTTTATTGAAGGCTTTTACATACTTCACTGTTCAAATATAAAATAAATTAAATGACATCTGACATAAGGATTTAAAGGAATGCACATATTCCACTAGAAGTCTCATATCTTGCACATGGTAATGCGTAGTTTGATAACAGTTGATGTAATTTTTCTTAATAGATGTGAAAATAACAAAGATGACTTCACACAGACTTACAACACAAGTAAAATTGGAGTATCTTGGCCATGTGAGGAAACTAA